GTAACTGGATGTATTCTCGACTAATAAAGTTATTATAACAATTATATTTTATATAATTGTTTAATTAATAAAAATTTTAGATCTTCTTTAGATTTAGTAAATGCAACGTATATCTCTAAAGAAGATTTGAAAATAACGACAGTTTTAATGATCACTAGTTCCGTATTTAATTTAACATTGTAAGTAACAAAATGTTTTAAAAAAAATAAAGTTGAATGGAAAAAATTTTCATTGATTCAAAACATTTGTCTTGTTTTAAACTTTTATTTTATATCCACACATCCACAAAGCTAACGACAAAGTAATGAAAAATAAGCAGAAAATAGGCAAACATTAAAATGGTTATTTTATGAGTAAAAATAAGAAAAACTACGACTGGATTGATTTTATTTTTACTGCAATAGCTATGTCAAGAATTTATTAGTGCTAATAACTGTTAAAACACGCTATTTACGAACTATAACTCACATCGCTGTTGACTGTCCTGTACCACTGAGAATGATCGTAATAGTTTTTACTGCCTATTTATGCAGGATATAAATACGAGTCACAGCACTGCACCTACAAAAGAAGTTTGAAAAGTTAAAGAAATTTTAGTGCCTGAGGTGATATTTTATTTATTCTCCTTAATTCCTTATGAATTTTCAAATATAGAAAGTAACGTATATGAGTGGATCATGTAACTGGAACCATTTTTGAGATAAAGAAAACAACATATTAAACAGCTCTGCCCGTCAAATTTTCTAGACTATAAAATCTATGCTTCGTAGATATTTGTTGAAGTGATTTGGTAAATCAATTTTATCCTTGGCTCCACTGTGGATTTTAATAGATGTGCGATCTATGCATTTTTTTCATTAATCCACATAGATGTGTAATTTACAATTTATATATAAATTTTAATACACAAGTAAAGGTTTTAATATTAACGTGGAGTTCGTGTGATATGCTTAATATATATGGATAAGAAAAACCACAGACATATAGAACTTTTAACAAAGATCATTCGAAAGTTTGACTATTTAACTACTATATTTTTTTAACAGATAAAATATTACTCTTACATTATTCTTTTTTTACCAGTAGTGTATTTATTACCAGTATTAATGTTACAGAGTCAGTGATTAAAAATTGAACAAACGTCCTTAGAGATGTGCTGTCAGCAGCGCTTGCTTTTCCAATATTATATTAAATCTTCATTACACTTTGCTAAACGAAGTTTTTTAGTGAGCACTGTAAGTCAACTTTAATGAATAAATAATTATTAGTGATATGTGTGACAATGAACAAGAGAAAAAGGAATGCTGTTTACGTATGTGTGCGCACATAAGAATTTATAGTATTTTGATAATACACTTATTAAATAGATAAAAGTACATGATGCATAATAAAACAGCTTCCTTGAATATATATAACTAAGTATTTATTTTAATATTTAAAAGATGAAGATATAATAAATAAAGCCAAGTAATACAATATTTATTATTACGAGAACAAATGTATGTACGGGAAGGTAAAAAATAGATGCACAAGTAAAGCTATCTTGAACTTTTTGATAACTCTGGGCGTAAAATAAACGTTATGAATCCTATTTTAGAACTCTACATCAAGTTACTCAAAGATAGGATACGGTAGAGATACAGTGTGTACATCAAACGAAATAACGATTCAGTGGAAACATTAATGTTTTTTTCTGTCATGGCTAATAAGTACACCTAATAATTAACGTGATTTCACTTTCTTTTAGAGTGAATAAGCTTTTGCTTGATACACCTAAGCGCCTAACAGCATAACGTAACTATCTCAAATCAGTGTATGGCTCACCTTCATTTCATGACGACTTATAGTATTCTTTTGTTAGTCATCACATTAACGGTACAAGAGGATATCTTCAATAATATAGTATTGTATCGAAAAATTAAAATACATGGTAATATTATATCAATGTCGACTCAATACTTTTTGATGGTCTTGTCTTATCGTAATAACTGATACAAATTTTAAAGTTCATCACTGATACAGTGTTTTTACTTGACAAAATGATTAAATATTTATGAAAATAACAACAACTGCAGGCTTCACATTTTAATTTGTATGATTACTCGATAAAAGTTTGTAATACAATTACTTTGTACAATTGAAAGTATGATAGGAGTGAGCATTATGGAAATACACTTTCGAATAACTCATGTACGAATGTAGGTAATAAAGATGACGAATCTAGCACAAACAAGAAGTAGAGCTTCAACAACCGATAAGCAAGCAAAACTCTATTTTCGTTGCACTGTAATGAATAATAGAAAAGTTGTGATTTGCTTGGAGAGTAAATATAAAAAGAAATTTATGAAAGTGTCTTTGAAAATTATGTTGGATCATTAATTTATTTACAAAAATTTAGTACAAATGGTGTATCTTGGACAAAAAGAAAGAAATCGTAATTTTATATCTAAAGAAGCATATCAAGAGATGATTACTGATAATAAATTGATAAAAAATATTTGTTCCTATTCATCTAAAATAGCTTGAGATGTATTGTGTATTTTGATGTCAACTCTATCGAAAATACTCCTCTCAATTGGATAGCCTTTATAATCAATCCCATTAGAATTTATCTTGGTAATGACTCTTTGGAATCACTGATGTGCCCCAATTCATAGTCAAAAGCTACAGTAAAATATATTCGTGAAATGTTGTTTGAAATATAAAATAATTGTAAAATACTTTGACGAAATAAATATTCAATATATTTAACTACAAACATTCAATGTACATGAAAGTTCGTATTTTTTAATAAAAATAAAAGATATTCAATACTGTCGTGATGAAGAATTACCATACACCCCGTAGAAATTTTTGTAAACTGATTTTCTTTCTTAAATAACGAGTAGTACACAACTATACAGCTTTAAAATTCACGTAAGGTTAATAAATTTTTTAACTCAAGACATGAATTAAATTTTAGACTTCAGAATTGATAAGAAACAAATACAAGTTTTAAGTAATTAAAACGGAATAAACTTATTTCACAAAAAAAGCTCAAATTGTTATACTATAAATGTAAATGAAGACCTCTTAAAGAGAGTTAACAACGATACCTGTCATCTCAGATGTACAATCGTAGTCCCGACATACCGTAGCAATGAGGGTTTATAATTTAAGGTAACAGTGTAGAGATATTCCTCAATAACAGTTGCGATAGCCTACTGAAGCATGCCGATTCACTCGTATGCGTGTGCACCTTATGATTTCATTTCTGATGTTTTCTCCTTAACTGCAGCAGTCCAGACCAGCAGTATTACACCTCCCCACTTGCTCTTACAAAGCTCTAATTAGTATAGAGAAAATGATTAGCAGAGAACTAATACTTTTAAGTTTTCTGTACATTCAGAAAATAATTATAAAAATAATCTGACAGATTTCACTGAAATATCGTGGCATACTGCGGTATGCAATGAAAATGTATATATGTTTTGCAATAGACTTTTTGCAACATCAAACTTCAGATTCATGCAACTTGAGATCCATTCATCCTCAATAATATTGTAATATATTAAATAAGTTTAGCATATTGTTAAATAAAAAATCATGTACCGCCCCCGAAGATAAGATACCCTTAGGAAATCCCATATTACCATTCTGAGAGGCATTGTTACGATTGACGTACTTTCATGGTATAAACGATTAGCTAGACAAATTCGCGCAGGAGCCCACCCGCGTTATCAAATAGTCTTAGATTGAATAGTATATTACTCATCTAGGGAGGAAAATTAAAAAATGTCTCGGATCGTAGGCGATTGATATGCCATCCTCCCTGCATCAGTAGATGAAATTTTCGTTCCGCAAAGTGGGACAAAAGTCCCTTTTTTCGACGCAGGGTTGGTAAAAACATCAATAGAGTAGAATATAAAAATCATACAATTCAAGAATTAAAACAAAGTCGAATTTCTATGATTTTGGACATAAAAATTTTGTAAACTAAAAGTTTCAAAATAATTTCAGGGTTGCAGTTTAGTAATGAAAAAAAAAAAAAAAAATTTACGACAGAGTCAGATTAGATTAGATTAGATTAAAGTCATAGTGAAGTATATTTTAATAATTATTAGATGCTCAAAAATTTTATCAAAGTTTCATCAAAAACTTTGAATACAACTGTAATTTACGAAAAGAACCTGAGTGTGTATTTTTTTACTTTTGACATACCTTTTTTATCGTAAAAAAAAAAAAGTTTCAAAAATATCAGTTCTGAAATTCTATTCGTATTAATTATCCAAATCGTATAAGACATAAGATTGTTTTTGCCAAATTTTGCCATTAACTGTTTTTTCTTTCACTCCATTTTCTTTTCATGTACTTCTAACAATTGAAATAAAATTTTCTAAAATTGTGTATATTCATTTATTCATTAAATTATACATATTTATTTAGTCTTTATTACATTATCCAATAAAAGTTGTATTCATAAAAAAAATAAGATTATGTACAAGGATTATGGTTTATAAAAATAATTAATAGTATTTAATTCAGACTAATGAGATTTTGGTGCTCTTAAATAATTATTTATTTATAAAGTGTGTTCTTTTTAATGTTATTTGAGCTTACTTAATTCAATGATATTAGTAGCTTCGAAAGAAATAAAAATAAATAATCAGTCTAATTGTTCAAGTCATTTTTTCGCACCAAATAAGTACATTAGTGCCGTCCAAAGAGATAAAAACGATTTTTATCAATATAATTATTATTCTTGACCATAAATTCTTTACAGTCAATATAATTGCTGATACAATCCATACATACTGACTCATTCGCATTCAAAAACATAGTTTGTTTTCTGTTTTGGCTAATAAAAAGAAACATATTCTATCGCTCACAAATCCGGAAGGATGATATCAGTTCAAAGAAATCTCTAGTATTATTTTGTAAGATGACCATTTATGTGCATTTGAAAATAATTTTAGTTTATTTCAGAATAATCACATAACGAAAAACTCTAGTCATTTTTATGACTACTAGCCCCTTTGAGCATCTTGTATTTACGTCCTTCTTTGTGATCAGGTTTTAATCTCCTGTTCATTACTTTCCTGTGAAAACGTATGGAAAATATTATTTGAATTTTCTTTTACTTTCAAATCTGGTAATATAATTATTTTGAACTAGCCAGACAGTATACTCACTTCAGTCATTGACTTCAAGGTTTGCATTTCCTCTCTCCGATTGCGTTTAAAAAATCCTAGTTTGTATAGTGTCCAGATAACAATAATTAGTATAAGTATACCAAACAATAACGACAAGAAGATCATTAAAATAGGTATGACTTTGCCACTTCTAGAGATCGTCGTTGAAATCTGCATGAAATGTTTTGCTTTGTCCTCCATGTCAATTAGTACATTAGGGGTGATAACTTCGATATACGCTTGGGTGACGTATGAAATATTTTTCCATTCGGCTAATTTAACTTTAAAAAAATATTATTAATTAAAATAAATGCAATCATATACATGTAACAAGGATTTAGTTAAGTAGATCAACAAACCTATGGGATCTGAGATTCGGAAGTCTATGGTTATAACCAATTCGGCTGCAGATGTCGTTTTTAGAAAAGAACCAACATCACAACGAAGATTTTGACAGGTAACATGAGGATTTGTACAACTTATGGAAAAAACATCTTGGAAAGAAGTTGACGAATCAGAGTGACTCCTACTGGCGTAAAAACTGTACGCTTCCACTGATGCGTTTTCGTAAGTGCAGTTGTATTTATTTCCATCAATAGATCCACGGAATTGGCTTATACTTGCAATTTCAAAGTTTTGGAAGCGCACTGGAACATTGACGAAAAGGGCAGACTCTTGGATTGGAGTAATACCTAATTTTTCTATTTCATAAATGTGATGGAAATTGAATTTCTTAAGATGGGTTTCGTCCAATTCACTCTCCAAATAACCGTAGTGATGTCCTTGCGATTCCCTGAAAGTCATATATTCATGAAGTACTTTCTAATGATAAAATTCGGTGTATTTCTTTGACTTTTATTGAATATTATAACGTCATTGTATCCAAAATTGCAATAGTTTTTTTTAGATATACGTACCCAATAATTCTAAGATCTGCATCAACGTCGAAATAGATGATCAATGATTGGTTGTTATCATCAGGATTTTTTTCATCACCATCACTAATGACATCGACTTTAATTTCTTTAAGTTTTTCAGTACTTTCAATCGAATTCATGTCCAGTTCAAGAAGTATTTTATACGTGTGCTAAAAGAAGACATGATATAAAAACATAGTACAACAAAAAATAGTTCCTTCGAGAAACCGCATACCGTTAATGCTTAGTACAAAAATTGAAACGTGTTATAATATTGTGCACTTACATTTTCACGTAGAGGACTTACGAGAAGGCAAATTGTTTCTGATGTCTTGTCAACTTGGGGCAAGGTTTTGCAACTGGGAGGTTGTTTGACTAATGTGATTGGCTCTGGAATGAAGATGTGGGCCTCTGGCAGATACGCTGGCTCATTGGTATTTTCAACGAGTATAGTGAGGTATACGTTTATGCCCGAGCCAATGGTATACCTGTTGTTGCGGCTCAAATTGTTGCTCGTAATACTTACTTTCAAATCTGTTATGCATAATTCGTCAGAGCCACAGTCTCGAGCATAGGCTTGCATACTATCGGTTGTTTTCGATTTTGGGTGGAACATGGGGCACTTATTGTGGGAGGAATCTGGATATCCACATGCAATATTTACATTGACCTGTATAGGATTTGCTGCCTCATTTATTAAATCCTAAAAATAGTTAATTGTTATTTTACCAAAAACAAAGAAAAAATGTGTAAAAATTTATTAACTTACGTTTCGTGGAACATAAAACTTTTCACATCGACGCTTGTTTAGATGCAATGTTGAAAGTCTAGTTTCAGATGTATTCGTGTAGAGTTTATGCCACAAAATATCAGTTAATACTATGGAAATAGTTACATCTGTGGAATAAAATTGTTTTATTAGCGATGACAAAAAATAAATCACATCATTTGAAAATGTTATTTGCCTATTACGTATACCGCACTGACAAGTAGAACAATACACTCTTATAGGATACTTGATACTAGACTATGCGTGCCATGAATTTTTAAACAATTTCAGTAAACTTGATAAAATCTGTTGCAATCCGATATATTCAACCTTAAAATTCCATACTATGTCACCATATCTCATCAATTTTAGAGTGAAGGTAAATTAATCATAGATTTTTATTTCCATTGACCACAATACTACATGTACATTGACAGAACACGATAAACTACCGAAACGTCACATAAGTGGGGTTTATAGGCCATTATTAATAAAGTTATTCGAATAACCTAATATCATTAACTAGGTTACATTTTAAATAATTGTGATAACGTTACGATCAAAACTTTTCTATGCCGTATTTTTGATACGAGGGATGGTAATTTGTTAGCTCAGATGGGTCAGCCGTGTTTAATAAGCTAACATCCCGAAAATTGGAGGTATTAATGTTAGAATTGATTACAGGATTTTTCCATAACAGTGGGTAAATAAACTTTTAATGTTTGAGCACCGAATTAACGAATTAAGAATGAGTTTTCACGAAGTAGGAGTTCCTGAACTATTGAAACAAAAAGTTTGAGAATCACCGCAGTCTCGAGTGGTGACATGTAATTTTTTGACACTCACTATAGAAAGTTGGAAGACACTTTTGGTGTAACGCTCGAATCTTGAACACTTTTCATATGTCAAATTGATTCGATATCGTAGAATTTAAAACTATATTTATTTCATTACTTTTGATGACAGTTTCGTATCAAACAGAAATCTTCACTATTTGATTGGGATGAACACGTTCTATCTTCAAAAATATATCAATCGCGAAAGACAGTCTTATATTGATAGTATGATCAATGAGGTCGATGTACTGGTTGAACAATTTTATTTCATTGTTTGCGCATCGGATAAATTTAATTTATTCCAATCACATACAAATAGATTCTAAAAGCTTTTGGGAAATAATACCGTAAGTCCAAACTTACTATAATTTTGACAATATACTTCAAAACGATAAGCTTTAGAACTGAACTCCGCGTACGAGTCAACTTGACTCACTTGTGTGAAAAAAATGTCACCCTAAGATTGCAGTGAAATTCATAGTCCAAATTGAAAAAAAAAATACTTACCAAAGGTATCTGGGGCATAGGCACCATTATATTTGGCACAAGCCTCGAATGCCAAGTGCGTCGAGTTAAATGAAAGGCTGGAATTTGCTAGGCGTCGCAGGTTGACGGTCACCTTAATTATGGGCCTGCTGGGCAGGAGGACTGCGTGACTGGACATAAAACTACCCACGGCCAGGTCGGGGTAGCCATCACCATTGACGTCACGTGCCGGTTCGCTCAGAGAATGTCCAAAACCCCATAGTGCTAAAGACAGATCTTTGGCGACTATGCGTTGGCTTGGCTTGAGGAAGAGTTCGCGATCACCACTGCCACTGTATATATAGATGGCCCCTCGTCCATCGTCCTCGTAGGGTGCCCCAACAGCCACGTCCTGGAAACCGTCGTGGTCGAGGTCACCCAGGCAGGCCAATGAACTGCCGAAGCGTCCAAAAGTGATTTTACCGTCAATATACAGTTTGGCCCAGTTTGACTGTGATGATACAAATACAACAATTGAATTCATGTTAGTCTTAGAAAAACATCATTTTTCAACTACAACACTTAAAACGTTTATGGTCATATTGAATGACTACTGTGATTATGCCTTAAAACTCATTTAAAAGTAACTACTCCCACCTGGCCTTTGGATATGTAAGCATACACGCGTCCCTCTTCAATGTTACTGGACCACAGTGGAGCTCCAATGATCAAATCATCTCTGCCGTCACCATTGACGTCACAGGCGGTCAAACTGGAACCGAAATATTCGCCAAACTGTTCGCCACTAAATTTGTGTTTACTTTGTGGACGAAATTGCTTATAAGTCTCATTGCTTAAAAATTCAAAAATGAATACATTTCCTTTTAAATCGTTGTTTCGAGGAGCTCCAGAAGCATAATAATGATTTTTTATTTTCTTCTTGAAAAAATTTCCAGAGACAATT